TGGTACCTTTTAAGTTTCTGGCCCCCTTTTCCAGTAATTTTCCTTTTGGTCATAGAGGAAAAATCTGCATAGAAGGTAAGCCCCAGTGAAAGAGTTGGATAACGGAGTAGTAGGGCACTCATTTGGCCTTTGACAGCCTGATACAGAGCAGTTTCCTGACACCATTAGAATGGGCTGTTGGTTAGAGGTAGGGGTCTCTTGGACATTAAGTGCTTACGTGTCAGAGCACGTGTAGATAGGAAAAAATAGAGGAGGAGAGAGGAAGTTTAGGTATAAAAGATTTTCATATCATTTGTGCATTGGCAGAAGTAGAAAATCCAGCATGTCAATTTTGGCCATTGAACTGTATGTACTGAGGCCAAGTTTTTTGTAGTAACAGAGCAAAGCTTTAATAAAATCTGAATCCATGGAGGAAGAGAGGCAGGGTTGCAAAACCAGCTCCACCCAAATGAATTTTTCTATGTTCCAAGTGGGAACTGAGAGTCAAGAGAAAAGCCCAGTAGGACATAGATAAGCTGTGAGACTTCCAGGACTGAGCTGAGGAAAGACAAGGTCACAGGCTGGGAATGGCCTAAGAAAGCTGTACAACTTAGCAGGCAGCTCCTTGGAGGAGGAGGAGGCAGCATGGAAACAAGGATGTTGGTTCTAAGAGAGAGAGGAGCAAGTTTCTTAATAACTAGAGTTGCCCTTGAGGTGGGGCTCCAGAGGGCATAGCAGGCCCCAGGAGCCAGAGACAGAACATTACTGAGTAGGTGAGGAGAGATGGATGGTTAGATCAGGTGGAGGACGTAGGCATCTGATGAGGCAGGCTGTAGAATTTGGAACCAAATATGATGTGTGGCTGAAGCCAGTAGAAACAGGTGATCCATATACACCTTAAGGGAGTCAGATCAGCAACTTGAGTTAGCTTGAAATGTTGAGGCTTGGCATGGCTGAAGGTAAGTATGGCCACTTCTACCAATGCTACTTGAAGAGACAGCATTCTCAAAGGAAGTAGTGTTTGGAGACCCTTGTATGTTAGCACATGGGACAGTAGATGAGGAAAGAAGACAATAATAGGTGACCTGTAGGTTAACTTCTTTGATTTGTGTAAAAGAAGTTGAGTTGCGGCCAGCATATACATATATTCTTGTATATGAATGATTGGAGGTGTAGCTTTATTACTCGATTAAACAAGTATTGTTTAAGCCCTATCTTCAGTAAACTGAACATGTGGCCAGAAAGCCCTGAGATAAATTCTGCACTCTGACCATCAAAGCATCTATAGCAAGCAGCACTAGCGGTGATGGCTGGCTGTTGGCAGTGGTAGAGAAACCAAAACAAAACCAATAAATACAGAACATAGGAAGCCTGCACACTCCAAGGAGACCAGTCAGAAATAAAACATGCAGTGGCCAGCATCATTCCTACATTCAACTGTGCCTGAGAGATTTCCATCTTGACTCTTCAGTTTTACAAGGAAGCTTACAGATACAGCAGAACAGATAGACCCATATGCATACAGAAAACAGACAGACAAAACTTTCCAAGCAAACAGAATCAAGTAGGTGGGCTACATCTTGCCTTTTGCTGTGGATGGGAATGAAAGGGTTTTGTAATTGGTTGAGAGAGGAATAATATTTGGCGTTAGAGCGGTTTTTTGGTGTCTTATACTCAGGAATCCACCTGGGATGCCAGTAAGGGAAAGGGTGTGTCCGGTTGTGTGGTTTGGAAGAGGAAGAGGAAGAGGAAGATGACTGGGGAGGCTGTGGTCAAGCAGATGGCGGGAGCAAAAGAAATAGTGGTTCCTGCTTTAACTAGGAGGTATTTTCCCAGCAAGGGGACTGGGCAGGTTGGTCCCATAAGGATGGAGTTGGTAAGGGGAATACCCCTAAAAATATAGCTGGTAAGGCTGTTCCCCTATTTCAGCAATGGCGAAAAGAGGAGAGATGAGTTGCCCAAATCTATCAGGACCAAAAATGTGGCCCTGAAGGAGGGAGATGGATTGCTCTGATACTGTGACTACGCGAAGCTCCATGTTTCTGAACGCACTGGTTGGCCAAGGGAGTCTGGGCCCCCTTAGTCGTCCGTGGCCACACTTAAGAGATCAACTGGAGGGTGATCTGGCTTGTTGTCCTTACATTGCAAAGGACATAAGGAGAGTCATCAGCCCAGCCTCCCTCTTGATGGCATTATGGGCATGGTCAGAATGGTATGTGAGGGTTTGAACAGACCCAGGGCCAATAACCCTCCTGACCACAGCCGAAACAGGGACCTGGAGGTTCCCTGGCTTTGGCTGAAAGCCCTTAGCAAGCATCGGGTATTTTTGTATTCGGCCTTTTTCACTTCTCCCAAGGTATACCTTGAAGCCTGTGAAGCCTGTGGCTAAGACTTCTACCTTTAGAGTCAGGAGTCTTTTCTCCAGACATTTCAGTTTATTATTCAGGGAAACTTTGGGAGTTATTTTCCATCTGGGGTCTCACAATCCAGATTGGTATATTGTAAGAGGGACTTTATAAGGGGGTCTAAGAATTGAGTCTGGTTTCTCTTTTTCTCCTGGTTGAATTTTAGGATTTTCTCATAATTTACTGCTTTAAGAGCAGCTTTGCAGAGACTGGCCAGGAGTCAAGTTATAAACTGATCCTTAGCAAGGATGCACCCTGGGGTATTGTAATGCTATTCAGGGTCCTGGTCAAGGACTGTCTTAGCTCTGCCTGGGTGGGTGGCATTAGTTTGCTGGATTTTGTCTGCATGTGCCTTATCCTGATCCCAAGCCTGCCTAGGTCCTCAAGGAAGAGGTTGTTGGTGAGAATCATACAAACATGAGGTTGTAAGAGTGGGTAATATACTGTATTTCTTTAATCAGGGTGGAAGAATTGGCAGTGTAGGGCCCCCATGTCTTCTATTTAATAGAGTTTGCATAATGAGAAGTGGATAAGTACTCTCACCAAGCCATCACCCAGGCAACCTCCCACAAAGGTAGAACTGGTCAGTTTAGGCCAGGTAGGGGGATATAAAGGTGTCCCATAGCAGAGCCAGATGACTAATGGCTTCTAGTGGGCTGAAAGTAGGTGCCTGAGAGGGTGGATTTGGGCAGCCTATCATTGAGGAGGGAGAAGGGAGACCAAAGAGGCAAGAGAGAGAAAGAAGGGACTGTGGGTTGAGGCCAATAAGAGGGAAGCTTCTTAGCCTGATCAAAAATAGTGGAAGAATCATCTGGTTTGGGCTTCATACCTAGGAGGAGTTGTTTTTCCCTGGTTGGCTTATGCTATATGGTCACTGTTTAACTTTTTTTGGCTTTGTTTAAAGACAGGGTTTCTCTGTGTAATAGTCCCAGCCATCCTGGTCACTCTGTAGACCAGGCTGGCCTTAAACTCACAGAGATCCAGTCTTCCTCTGCCTCCCGAGTGCTGGGGTTAAAGGCGTGCACCTCCACCTCACAGATGTGTGGTTACTTTTAATTATATGGGAGTGAAGTCATGGTAGTATCCATTGTTTTCAACCTTAGCATAGATGGCTTCCAGCCACGTGGCTGTCTCCATCCAATAGGGGCACAGCAGGTAAGATGGCAACAAGGCACATGTTTTCTTTAAGATTACATATGTAATAATTATGGATTTTTGCCTGTCAATCTTGGTGTTATGAGTTAACCCTTTTGTTACAGATATTACAAGTTTATAAGCATACCCAATATGCTTACAAATCTTGAGATAAGATTTATACCTTACCAGATATTTTAGACACTCAAACCAAAACAAAAGAGTGAGAGATAAGTATCATTAGTCCCCAATAGGGCATGGTGTGCCCATTTATTTTGTTTTGTTCTCCTTTCTTTTTCACTGTAGCCAGAAGGTTCTCGGGTCCCGCCAGGCACCCACAGTCCTGTGGCCTGCTTATAAAATGATCACACTGAGGCTTAATATTAATTATAACTGCTTGGCCATTTGCTTAGGCTTATTACTGACTAGCTCTTACACTTAAATTAACCCATAATTTTTATCTATGTTTTCCCATGTGGCTTGGTACCTTTTTTCAGTTCTGCCTTCACATCTTGCTTCCTCTGTGTCTGGCTGGTGGCTCCTGACTCAGCCCATCCTCTTCCCAGAATTCTCATCTGCTTACCCCACCTATACTTCCTGTCTGGCTACTGGCCAATCAGCATTTTATTTATCAACCAATCAGAGCAACACATATTCATAGCATGCAGAACGACATCCCACAGCATTTCACAGTTAGATGGCTTGCCTGATATGGGATGGAGATTTTGAAGGAAACGTTTAAACAAACATGCTTGCTAGGAGATAGAGGAGAGACAGACATAACCCAATTCCAAAGCAATCTTTTAATTGAAGTGGGACAGCATAAAACAACGGCGTAATAGCACTTATACCTAAATTACACCTGAATCCTTGTAAAACTGGATCCAGTAGTCTGAGAATAAAGAAGGCTTAGAGAAATTGTGAGCCCTGATTGTAGATAGAAGATACTTTAGGAGGGAGTTGAGAGACTACGAGCTAGGGAATAGTGTATGAAGTATGTGCACATTGCAGCTGGCCTAATCTTTGCTTTTTCCCCCTCCTGCTAGGTTTGGCTCCTGGCTCCCACTTTGTATCATACTTATAGTTTCATCAGCTATAGCTGAAAAGACAGGATATTTACATGCTTGTGGATAGGGGGAGGGGGCAGACAAATAAACAGGGCCTGGAGCAGAGGAAAGAGAAATAAGAGAATGGGGAATCTTTTTCCATTTCCCTGATCACTTGTAGGATGGATTTGTAATAGTCCCAGATAATATTAGGTTCTAGGGTGCTGTTAGGTGGCCCTTTGGATTGATTATCTAAGTAGTATTGAGGCCAAACTTGACAGCAAAAGCAAATAAATCTAAAAAAGCAAAAATGTTGTGAATTTTTCCTTATGTAGTTGTGGAAGAAAGTATACACTGACTTCCTTGGTGACTGCAGTAAGTAGGATTCCCACTGATCTGTGTCCCTGAGTTCTTTCTTTTTGTGTTGTTGTTGTAGAGGTCCTTGAGTATGAACACTGACTCTGCAAAGAGAGGATTTCAGTGCATATTAGGTGAGTATTTTTTTCATGCCTAACAATGTGGAGCATTTTTAATGTGTACTTGTTGGCCATAACACCTGCTTTTTAAAACAGTCTATTCAAATCATTTGCTTCTTCATTGAATTAATTATTATGTCTTTGCTTTGTTGTTTTTTTCTTTTTTCTATTTTATGATATAGTCTGGGTATTAACAACATACCATGAAGAGCTATCAGATACATTTATCTGCTCTATAGGCTATTCCTTCCTAGTTTTGATGTTTATACTTTCTCTGTATGTTTTCAATAGTACATAACTATTTTATCAGTTTACTCTTCAAATATACATGAAGGTTTGTGATTCACTGTATAGTGATGAAGAATCAACCCAGATTCACATATTTTCTTTGGATAGCTTCTTTACCCAATGTCTTTGGTTGATGAGATTATTATTGTTATTTTGGTGACATTGACATGGTTGTTGCTATTATTCTGTTTCTGGATCTGCTGCTCTATTATAAAGGACTGTATATATACTCTTCTGTCCTTCCCATGTTCTGTTGGTCATGTGACTCTGCAGAGTCATCTGGAATCACTGCTGAGACAACTTAAGCTCTGCTCTATATACCTGGGGTTGGTCTGGTCTGAACTCAGGTTCTTTCTGCTTCCATGTCAAATTAGTTTTCCCTTGACTATTTTTATGAAGGGAATTCAGTATATTGTGTGTTTCGTAGGTAACCTCCCTATTCTGATAACTAACACAATTTTCATCCCCTTTTCTCTTGTGCTCTCTGGTATTTGTACCAGATCATATGGATTTCTTCTTCATGACTTGTACAGTCAGCAGTTACATATTCTCTGCATGTGACCAGTTAGGAATTGCTGACATAGCCAATGCCCATTGTATACAATGGTTCTCTGACATGGGCTGAAAGTAGTAACAGGCTAAATTGTGAACAAAACCAGGTAAAGTCAGTTTGAGTATTTGTTCATGTAGTAAAAGGTCATATCATGAGTGTATTCCCTTCTATGGTCTCTCACCCTTCCAGTCTTAGGCTCTTAGTCAGGTTTCCTCTGTATTTTCCATATTCCCTTTTCTAGAACTTGCCACAAAATTTAATGAGATAGTATTTCATTACACAGAAAACTATCTTCACATTATGGCACTGTTTGAGGAAATCAAGAGGAGCAACCACCTAGCTGTGATCCAGCTAGGATCATCATTTTTTTTTTTTTAATAATTTCTTTGCAAGGCTGAGACATACAGGATCTGTCAATGGATGCATAAAGTCTGAGCCCCAAGTTTAAACAGAATGTTTTATATCCATCTGTCCCACTGGGTGCCTCTGAATCTTGCCCACATTGCAGCGATCCAGAGTAACATAGATTCTGACTGGCTATCTTAAGTTTTTTTTTTTTTTTAATACAGTTTGTTGAATTATCTCATGCAGAAAAAAATTCTTCATGAACAAAATACACCAGAAATCATTTACAGTCCTGAAGTTTAAAAGGGTGGATATCAGACGCAGATGAGCCATAGTGGGACACTACAAAAACAACATGACCAGTGTGTTGCTGATCTTTCCTAGTAGCTGTCAAAGTCCTGTGCTACATGAATGGATGCAGCATAATGTGGCACTTGAGGTCCACATCTGGGTATGGTCTTTGATAACTCTTCTCCCCCACCACCTTGCACAGTCTTTTGCTCTAGGAATGCTACAATCAGGGCATCTACGTCATTTCTTAGAAACTGTAGTGGTTATCATGGTCAGTTGTCTTCTCACTCTGATCTTGATATGTAGAACGGCAGCTGATTTAGAACATGGGCTTTAAGGCATATTTCAAAGATTCTCAGAACTTAGCTTTCTCATGAAATATGAGTAAGTTTTGAACTTGAGAATTGAGAATTTGAAGTTGAGAAGCAAGAAGAACCTTACATTTGGGACTTTTTTGTTTGACCAAGCCTTATGACTTTCTTTGAAGCTTGTATGAATTTTGGTTTACCACAGGAGATAAAAGTTTCAGACATATTAGCATTTCCATTGTATTGAAGTCCACATTGTAGAAAAGGCGGTTAACTGGTGACATCAGTGTCTATAAAACAACTGTAGCACAAATCTTAAAAGGTCTTATTAATAAAAACAAACCTGGAGCCAGGTATTGGGGTGAATGCTTAAAGATCAGAGAAACAGAACAAGCCACAGCTAGCCTCACCTTACCAATTTCTCAGTTGATCTTGTTTCCTCAAACTGGAAGTGTCTGTGTCCTCATCAGAATGGATCTCAGCTGAACTGCTGCTCAAAAGCCTAAAAGCTTAACCAGGCTCTAGTTCCTCATCCTCACGCCTTATATACCTTTCTGCTTCCTGCCATCACTTCCTGGGATTAAGGCATATGTCACCATGCCTGACTGTTTCCAGTGTGGCTTTGAACTCACAGAGATCTGAATGGATCTCTGCCTCCGGAATGCTAGGATTAAAGGTGTGTGTGCCACCATTTTTTGGCCTCTGTGTCTATCTAGTGGCTGTTCTGTTCTCTGACCCCAGATAAGTTTATTAGGATGCACAATATATTGGGGGACACAATATATCACCACAAACAACTGAAGTAGACTCATGCCTTTGAGTCCTGATAAAAGCTATAACTTGGTGTTAAAAAGCATGAACATTTTTCCTCTGTCCAGAGAGACAGATATAACAATAGCATAGTGAAGGAAAGAACTATGACACCTTTTTTATACATACCTAAGCCATCTTTTTGTATATTTACAAGTTGTATCTACATACCTGAAAACACTTTCTTAGACTTTCATGTCCTCAGACCTCCTTAACTCACATTTACACACCTTAAGCTTTCGTATCCTCAGACCCTACATAAGCTTTACACTTTTTTTTTTTTAAATTTTCATCATTTATAAAAAGTTCCATGAAACCTATTGTGTAAGTATCTCCCTCTTTGGAGTCTTGTAGTAAGGTAAAGTGTGTCTAGACCTAGTCCTAGCTCTTAGGAATGTGAGGCTTGTGACCTGAATTTTACACAAGAAGAGAACTAAGAAAGCAACTGAAGCTTTGGGAAAGGAACTGGGTGCTTATTGCTGTTAAAGCTACTTATTTAACAAGATTACATATTAATGAAGACATTGTAATAAATATTTTATGAACTTAAGATGTTTTATATCCTTCATGATACTAAACATTTTAAAAAGCTGTTTCTTAATATATATCCAGTATTTTTGTAATTTAAATATAAAATTTTAAAATTTCCTCTTAAAAAGGTTTAAGATTTCTCAAAAATAACATACCCATTTCTACTTCAAGAGGGAAAAAACAAGGCACAAACATAATTCACATGAGGCAAAAACAAGCTCTAATGGTGTAGATTATTTAATATCTGAGTTTTATTTGTAAACTTTGTTTTTAGGACACGATTATCACACTGTTGTGGAATGTTAGTTTAAGATGTGTGTTACATTTCTTTATGCTGTGGAATATTTGTTTAATGATGCAAAGGTCGTTTCCATCTGTTTGATTAAATAAAATTAACCTGGAGTCAGGAGGTTGCGTCAGCAACTAGCTGACAGTAGGGAGGAACCATGTGTTGCTAGATTCTTAAGTGGCGGCTGAGTAGAAGGACATGCAGTTTTTGGGGAGATGTGAACTAGGAGAAATGGTTAGCTACTTGTTATTCAGCCTCTCTGAGCAAACAGAATTTCACCTCATGTGGTGATACTATGTTCCCCAAAATATTGTTCACCCTAATAAACTTATCTGGGGTCAGAGAACAGAATAGCCACTAGATACAGAGGCCAGAAAATGGTGGCGCACGGGCCTTTAATCCTAGCATTCCAGAGGCAGAGATCCATGTGGATCTCTGTGAGTTCAAGGCCACACTGGAAACAGCTAGGCATGGTAACAAGAGCCTTTAATCCCAGAAAGTGATGACACAAAGCAGAAAGGTATTTAAGGCATGAGGACAAAGAACTAGAGCCTGGTTAAGCTTTTAGGCTTTTAAGCAGCACAGTTCAGCTGAGATCCATTTTGCATGAGGACTCAGAAGCTTCCAGTCTGAGGAAACAGGATCAGCTGAGGAACTGGCAAGGTGAGCTGGCTGTGGCTTGTTCTGCTTCTCTGATCTTCCAACGTTCACCCCAATACCTGGCTCCAGGTTTGATTTTATTAATAAGACCTTTTAAGATCCTGCTACAACCTCAACCTTTGAATCCTGAGTTCTACAGTGGGATAGAGATTTAGATAAAGTTCCCTTCAGTGGTTATGATAAAGCCAGTCAGTGCCTGAGGGAACAGAATTCCCACCTGGCTGAGGCCCTTGTAGCCGAACAGCTACTGGTAGCTGCGGACTTGCAGATTAGGACAGCAGTTGCTTAGAGGGAAGCTAATGAATTTAATGGAAAAATGACACAAAAATCATCCTAATATAAAATATCTCGGAAGTCCATTCTTGCATCCTGGGTAGGCCCACTCCACATGGTCACCTTGAATTAAGATGGTGGTAAAGTCACATGGCATCTGTCTTCTCCAACCCTAGTAACAATGGTGACCTGCCACGTGTTGCTTATATCCCAAAATGGAATCATGCCACGTGTTTTTTTAAGATTACCTATGTATAAATTTTCAACTATCAACCATGTTACTAGTTTTAGGTTAACCTTTTTTCATAGATGTAACAGAGTTTTAACAAGATCCAATAAAATGAACTTATAAATCTTGAGGTGTAGAATGTTCACATAAACCAAGTCTAATGTTTTGGCTGAAGTGCTTTGCTCTCTGTGCCAGGTATTTAACATGCTTGACTCTAGAGGGGGGAGGGGGTCAGAACCCAACTCCAGAGCTAGCTTTCCAGTAAAATAGAACAGCATAAAACAACTTTAATGTTATTGACACCAAAAGAATATCTAAACTCCTGCTAACACCAGAGGGCTCAGAGGTATATTCTGAGGTCTGGCCGTAAAGGCAGCCAAGTGATGACTGGGGGCTGCAGAGACAATGAAAATACTCAGCCTGTTTTGTTCCTGTGCC